GGCAGCTTAGGCAAACACAGAGAGCCTGAGGATGATGGCTATTGATGTAGATAAATATTGTCAGTGGTGTGTGTATGTCCCTGTCCTTTTGGTGCTAGGGGTTGAACACACATGGCCTCCCATTTGTCACACAAGTCAACTATCCCTGAGCCCCAGAAGTGGGGAACCGATCCTCAGTGCTTTACCTTGTTTAGATAGAACATGATTCTAGGCTCAGTCGCTGCGTGTCTAGGACTCTGGCGAGGCATCCTGGTGATGCTTCGGGGTGAATCTCCGAAACTCTTCTTGGGAGGAGGTGAAAGGGGGAGAAAGTTGAGAAGCAGTGAGACTTCTGTTCCCGCCATGGACTGACTCCATTAGGAAGTCATTTCCTAACAGACTGTCACACCTTTCACCTAGCTGGCCCGACATGCAGTGAACTCTGTCCTTCCCTCTCACAGAAGGTGGTACACATACTTTCCAGCTGAGATCATTTTGAGAGATAGTCTCACTTAGCTCTCTTGGAATCTTGGCCTCATATTCATGTCATTCTGTCTAGGCCAGGCTCAAACCTGAGGTCCTCCTACCTCCCACAGTGCTGGGATTCTAGGTTTGTGCCCCTACACCCAGCTTCTTTTGAATTTTCTTTAAAGCTTATTACTTTCCCCCATCATGGCCAGTGCTACATGGCATATATCTTACATGTAAATGATATAAAATATATCTTTAAACTTTTCTTTGGGAGGCAAGAGACATGTTGTCAGGTATGTCCCATGAGTCCTGCACAGGACTATGTATTTTGTTTTGAGAATTTTGCACAAACAGTGAAATCGTAGGAAGTATTCTAAGCTGTTAGAAACCCTACAGTTTTGAGATTGTAGTGCTTTTATCTGCAGTTTGTAAAGGTGGTAGAATTTTGCTGGTGTTTGTCTGTTTGTTTGTCAAGACAGGTTTTCACTGTGCAGTTCAGGCTGACTTGAACTCACTTTGTAGCTCAGGATGGCCATGAATTTGAAGCAATCCTTCTTCAGCCTCCTCATTGCTAGAATTATAGGCAAGCATCATCGCTCCTGGCAAACGTTGTGGTTTTTGAAGATTGAAAATATATTAAAGAGGGCAGGCCTGATATAGCTCACTGGACTGATGTGCCTGCTTAGGCAGAGTGCAGCGGTCAGCGTTCGATCCCCATCATGCCGTGCCAGCCCTGCCCCTGGGGTGCACTGAGACGGCGTGGTGACACACACCTGTAATCCCAGCACTTGGGAAGCTGAAAACAGAAGAATCATTACAAGTCTGATCTATGTAGTGAGACCCTGTAGACCCTGTTCTAAATATAGAAGAAAGAAAATATATTAAAGAGAGAGAGACCATTGGTTAGGAAGTCATTTGTGAATGAAGTTCGCAGTCTGGGCAATTTAGCTATCTCAAAATAAACCCTAATTATTGTAGACAGGGATGGTGCCCCTCGTCCCTGAGCCTGTGTTCTTCTCTTTAAGCTCACAGGTTGACTCAGAGCTTAGTGAAACACTTCTGTAGAGCACTTCACCAGGTGTCTGATGTAGGAGGAAAAGGATGAACGATCCAGACTGTACATACGTATTCAACTGATTGACCCTCGTGCCTGTGCATATGCTGAATTTTGCTCAGCCAGTAGGGGGTGTGTGTAGGGATAGTCGGGCAGCCCAGCCCATGTTGCAGAGGCCTCTCCCAGAAGTCAACTGGCAAATTGAGGCAGACACACGGACGTGCATACGGTTGCTTTACTTCAAGATCGACAGTTTTTAAAATTAAACAAGAACTGTTTTTCCTCTTGACTTGATGGTTTCTTTGTTTATGAATAGCCTATGAAACTTTGTTATACATCTCAGGTGAATTTCATCTACTTTGAAGGTTCCTACCCCAGTGGGTGACCTAATAACATCTAATTCCATCTGTGGAAGAATAGTATCTTTTTTTACTGAGTTAACAAACATTTCCAGCTTGAACAAAGAGGCAGGGCTAGAATATGGGTCTTCAGGGCTGGGAAGATAGCTCGGCGGTCTAATGCCTGGCAAGCACAAGGACCCGCCCAGGTTCACTCCTTGGTACCGCATGCAGTGCCAGCCCCACCCCGGGCGCACTGAGCCAGCCACCAATCCCAGCACTGAGGAGGCTGAAGCAGGAGGATCACTATGAGCCTGAGCTCCACAGTGAGACCCTATACCAAATGAATAAATAAAAA